AATAATTTCCATAATATTTTATTTGGCATAAGACAAAAAGAATGTGGACATTAAAAAAATATAGATTTGCTATTAAAAGATTATATTTTTTACTTCTAGCAATGGAAGAAAGATATTATTTAAGACTTTTATTAATCTATGTTAAAAAATTATAATCATCTGAGCATTTAAAGACTATTCATGGAATTTTCTATCCAACATTTAAAAGTGCATGTGTAACTTTAGGATTGCTTGAAGATGATAGAGAGTAGCAACAATATTTAGAAGATGCATGAAAAACACAAAGTAGATCTCAATTAAAGGCATTGTTTTTTATTTTTCTATTGTAAAAAAATATACTAAATCCATGAAATCTATAGAAAAGATTTTGAAAAAACATCTTAGATGATTTCAATGCCTATTTACAAAGTAAGCATAGAATTAAGAATCTAATAAAAGAATAAATTAAGGATTTTGGATCTTTTTGTTGGATAAGATTTTGTAATACTTAGAAAGAACATTTATACAATTTCTTCTAATATCATTATTAAGAAACAATTGGAATGCAATAATTAATAGAATTTAATTTATTACTAAAGAAAAAATATGAAACATTCAAAAATTAAAAGTAAATTTGGAATAGTATGTTCTATAATTGAATCTTTGTTAATCAAGAATTAATGTCTTTAATTGATATTATTTATCTAAGGCTAATAAAAGATGGTATCTCAAATAATGCCTTCTTTAGAAATAGAATCATTTTATCTATACAAAATGATGATATAAAGGATATTAATAAGAAGATTATGGCTATATTTTTTAGAGAAAAAGAAGAATATTTAAGCGCCAATGAAGTTATCAATAAAGATGGTATTGATAATAATAATGTTTAACTAGTCAAATTCATCAAGTTGCTTAATCCATCTAGAATGCCTACATCAAGGCATTGACTTAAGATTAAGACTTTGGAGATACTATTAAGAAATATTGTTCTTTGGCAAGGACTTTGGAATAGAATCCAATTAGTAATTATAAAACTAATGGATTAAGTTCTTGAAGCAAGAATCCTTCGAAGAAAATTTGTTGAAAATTTGGTGTTCATAATATAAAAATACATTAACTTCTATAATAAAAGAACTTTTGTTTATTCTTAAAAAAAAATAATTTCCAATCTATCTTGTATTTGCAATAATAATAAAAAAATCTCAAGGATAATTGATGAAGTATGTTAGTTTGGATCTATGACAACCTATTTTTTTCATGGTCAACTTTATGTAGCACTTTCTTGATGCATTTCTTCCCATTCTATCAAGGTTCTTCTTTTTATAAATGACAATTTAAATTTTATGTTGAATATTATTTTTTCAAAAGTTTTAATTGGATAAATATTAATAATTTATTTTTTATATCTTATATTTTAATTTATTTATTTATTAACTTTAATAAAACTTTAAATGTCTTAATATACTTTTATGATTTTTTTAAATTTGATTAAATATTTTTTTTATCTTTTTATAAATAATTCCTTGAACAAAATTAACTATTTTTTTGCATATTATCCATAATAATATCACCAATTTACTTATCTTACTTTGTAGCTGAAAGCTCCATTGTATATTTTATTTTTTTTATTTGTATTTTATTTTATTTATATTTAAAAAATATCCTTTGGCTTACAAACATATCTTTCAAAAATAGCTTCATTTGAGTTACATCTTTTGTGACAACAATACAAGCTTATTTAGTTCTATTTTTAATGCCATATAAGAAATTTGTATTAATAATTATTATACTTTTATTATTATAAAAATATAAAAATAACTTAAAATTAAATAATATTTATATTAATTATATATATAAATAATATACACATTAAATAATAAATATTTGATTTAATTATAATATTTACAAATGAAATAAGATAATAATTTTGGATAATATTAAATACATCCTATAAATTGCTATTTCCACCCCCATGTGACTTTTGGGCTGCCCTTAAAGCACTTATGATGCTAAATATACCTCCTAATTCTCTCGTTCCTATTATATTTTATTTAAAAAAATTATCTCTATCCAAAACTTCCTATAATTGTCCCTTTTAACTCAATAGATGCAAGTTGGATTAATTTTGGTACACTACAATTATCAAAGTCGAGTACAACCACAAGCCTTCTAATAACATTGCTAGACATCCTAGTCCACACTATCTTAAGCCTGATCAATATGAAGCAATGTACCAAATGGCTACTATTGCTATTGCTTCTAAAGATTTTCTTTTCACTTTAAGGCAAAGCAATTTAAGTATACAAGTAATAGCAAAGACTATTCAAAACAAGAAAGTATGTATTCAAAAAGCTAAATTTGGCAATTGTCTACCTATCCTTGCTCTAAAGAATCAATTTTGGAAAGAGAAAATTTGCTTTGATTATTGTATGAACACTGCTAATCAAATTATACACTTGTTTTTTTCTACACCTTAGCTATGAGAAGCTTGCTTGTAAGTATCTTTATTTTCTAATTATAAATTATACCTATAAGACCAACTAATTTTGTATGCCAATATTCTATATCATTAATATGACAAGTTTCAACACTTCCTTCACTATTACAATTACCTTTATATAAGAAGAAAGTGGAATCTACTACCAATGAATGCTTCAATAACTTGCAAGTCTTTATAAAGACATCAAGCTAATAACCATCACAATCAATAGCAAATTAGCTCTCATAAATATACTATCAGCTATCTTTTTAATTGCCAAATTATTTTTTTATATTTTGAATTTTTAAAAGAATGTTCTTATAAATTACAAAAAAAATATTTTGAAATTGACCAAGACTAGAAAACCTTCTAACAATCATAGAAAGACATTGTTTAGTAGCCAATGGTTGAAATCTTCATCACTTAATAAAATATGCTTTGCCAAATATATATAAGTATCTTAGTTGCATTTTAGTATCTTCAGACAACCTGGATTATATACAAGGAATACTTTGTGGTAGCCTAGACAAATTGTGTAATGCATTTTTGAAATATCAACAACTCTTGGGCAAAAGACATGCATTCCATGGTTAAAAATTACTTATAAGTCTCTACCAAAGACCTCCAATATGTTCAAATTTAACTTTTCTATGCCTTTGAAAATCATATTAAAGAAATCAAAGTACAAGCAAGCATGGAGTAGATTTGTATTAATCACCAACAAAGCTACAATCTAAGGATGTTGTGAGATATGTCTTTTTCTATGCTTACAAAGAGGACCTCAATGACTAATCTCATGCTTTTATGACTATATAAGGCTTGCCTATTTGCCACCTAATATGGACAAAACTTGAAGCAAAGATGCACTTGTTTGTAGATGTTTTCTATTTTTTTTAGTACCTTGTCAATATGTAATGACTTAGACTAGAAGTTGGATTTATGTATAGAAGTATTTCAAGTAGTATAAGAGTATTGTAGAACATGGATAGCATTGGATCTATCTTTGATGAGGTTAGAGGTACCTATTAGATCTTGGCACTCCATCAGCAAGAACAAGTGTACAATTAACTTCTAAAAATGATATTATAGACTCTAGCATTAAAGAATCTACCATTACAATATATGCGTGGATGTCTAAGAGGCTCTATCAATGAGGCACTCATACAAACACCATACCAAAACAAATACAAAGAGATCCATTCTAATTTGAATTATTCTAAAGGAATGTGTCTTCTTAACTTATAGGCATAACTTGTGTATTAAAGTGTATAGTATGTAATTAGGTTGGCCACAATACATGTACCTGTATTGGCCATATTATATTCTTACAAGATATTGACTAGTAATTGATTAAAATATAATATTTCTAAAGGAATGTATCTTCTTAATTTGCAGGCATAACTTGTGTACTAAAGTGTATAGTGTGTAATTAGGTTGGCCACAATATATGCACTTATATTGGCCATATTATATTCTTACAAGATATTGACTAGTAATTGATTAAAATAAAATATATTTGAAGAAAGTATAATCCAATACAATATCTTTTAAATATAATGCAATAAGATTGAAAGTGTTTTTTGCACTCTAAAGAGACATGTAGGTAAAGTTGATGGTACTCAAGGATATACTAGTATTTAACATTGCAAGCACTTCAAAAGCAGCCCAAAAGTCATATAAGTGGTGGAAATAGCAATTTGAGGGGTTTATTTAGCATTCTTTTTAGATTTACTGTATAAATTTATTAATTTTAAAATATCTAATTAAACTTTTTACACTTTATTTATTTTTTTGTTTTTGTTTGTTTTTTTCTTTTTTCTTTGGTACATTTATTGATCTTCCCATTATCATGTTTATTTTCTAAACCAAAAAATGAGTTTATTCTGTCTTTCTATCAGCTCATTGCATTTAAAATAATATAATTTAAAAATAATATAATAATTTAAGCCCTGTGTCCTTTACATTTTGCCACTCTCTTTCGTAGTTACAGGCCATGTGGACACATCATTCAAGTCTTTGGTTTCTTTTATTATCTATTTCTTCATTTATATATTTATAAGTTTAATGTCACTTTCAAATTACAGGCATGTATGCCATTGAACTTAACCTGACGATTTTGTATACTCCATCTCTCTAAAACGTTAAAATCAACTATCTTTTAATGTAACAAAGTGTGCATTTAAATTCAAATTCAAATTATTGTTTATCGTGTAGACATTATGTTATAAATCCTTGCAGCAATATCTACATATCTTATTTATGCTGATTTCTATTCCCTTTCCTACGTGCTTATATTCAAAATTTGCAACACTGCCATGCGAGGAGTACAAAAATAAAGTAATTATATAGCTTAAGTGAATAATTGTATACAAACAGCTTCGGGGCCTGTGCAAGGATTTGGGCACATACACTCAATTAGACACAAAAACGTCTTTTTACACGGATGATATTGTTGATCTTCACCAAAAACTGATCAGCATTCAAAGCAAACGAACCCTAAAAGGAAGAGGATGCCTCACACGAAGGTTAAGTGTCAGGATTTAACAACAGACCCCATGTTTCTATTTTCCATTGTAGAACTGAACTTGCACAAAACTTGTGGGTAGAAAAGATCCCACTGAGATAATATCGAAACGGTTGTGAAGTATTTCAGAAACTTTATGACAGAGTTGTCGATCTAGGTCTACAATTACCTTTGGTATCAAAAAACAAGTGCATCCATTGATTTGGAGGACCATGATTCAGGAGCCCCGGTAATTGACACATTTACAGACTGTTAATAAACTTGCTGAGGAAAGTTGAGGTGCGGAGTGCTGGATGTGGGATAGAAGTCAGCAGAAGTACATGGAGAAATCCGGCTTCAGCTTCAGTTCTGGAAGAGATGGAATCAGTTTAGGAGAACCCCCTTCGCGAAGAGCCGCTGTGTCCTTTACATTATTTTAAATTATTTTATTATTGTTTCTCGAAGAGCTGGTGTCTGATCCTTCCCAAGTGCTGCCACGATGTGGGCATAGCCTGCGAGCGCCGCTGCAATCAAGGTAGATCCCACAGGCAAATTTTGTAACCTTGGGGGAAATAAAAACTTGGACTTGGTACTTTTCCAATGATTATAAGACGAGAGAGAAGGGGAAAAAATGGGTGGAAAAACTGATGTGCTGCTAAGACTTACCCGTGGAAATCGAGGTTGAGCTGCACAAATCACCTCATATCGTGAAAAATCAAGGATGCTGAAAACATTCAATGTGATAATTGAATGATACTGAAATGGAACTGCACAGAACCACGAGATGTACCATTCAGATCCCAACTTACGTGTAACACAAATTATTCGACAGGCACTGAATGTCGTCAGGTGCAAGCTTGTTCTCATTCAGCAACACATGGTAGTGACTTGGACGAGATGTACCCTGAAGCAAATATATGGTGCCGCAGAAATTAAAAACTTTTCACCACGAAAATCAGACGATGAAATAAGTTCCTATTACAAGTTTTTGAATTCTGTTAATTGTTGTGAGAAATGGGATAAGGAGAGGGGAGTACGATGAGACCAGCTTGACTGAGGAGGAAGTAGTCGTAGTTGTGAGGGTGGCAGATATCTTTATCAATAACTGTGCCTGCAAACCAGCACATCCATAAAATAGAAATGTTATTGCAAGGTTAGGCTAAAATAAAACCCACGGTAAATTAATCAATTAAGATCATTTACAGAAGTCTGATACAATGCACATGAAATCAGGTAAGATTCGTGTCCGGAATCACGTTGCCATTTCGCTAGGTGTCTCTGCTCTGGGAAAAGAAACGCGTGTTATGCCTCTTCTGAACGACGATAAAAGTAATTCCTGGATTATAGTCCTCTTGGATGTCTCTACATACCTGTGAGAACAAAGGAAGTTTTTTAGGTTCATCCGCTACTTCACTTCTCACAGAGAATTCAACTTAATCTTAATGCAAGATTGAGGGCATGAAACGTACTCTTTTAAATGCATTCACCTCTTCCTTCAAGCAATCAGCAAACCGGCCCTCACGGACGCCATCCCTGCACGAACCAAAGGATCCTAATTATAGAATGAACACACGTATCCAGAAAATTTTGTAGGACACAACAGTTCCGCAAACATCGCAGAGCTCTCCTGGGAGGAATGAATAATCCAAATATCGATACTTGAAAGATTATTGAGACGAGTGAGGGAAAATCAACCAAAAGCAACAAGAGAAAGTACCTGTGGACAGTGACTTGAGAGGGTTTGCACACAGGGCCTCTGCAAGTTCTGTGAAACTCCAGAAGTAGGTCTCTGAAGAAGACATCGTCAGATTTGGTAATACTTGAAATGTATCATCAAGTCATGTGTTCAAATTCCATCCAGGACTCCCTTAACAACCAGGACGATAAAAAAACTTAACCATATAGATCACTAACTTGACCATGGCGCTCTTAGGCTCCCAGAGCCCTTCGATCAACTTTAACTTCGATTGCTGTGTCCCTGCCCGTGTTGCGAAATGAAAGACATCAGGCCAGTTCTTCGTTGCAACCACTGCTGCAACAGAGGGGAAGTTCTCTCCAATGGACCCGTGAGATACGTCGATACCAAAGATAATGGTAGGCGCCCCACCAAGGCAGCTCGTAATTTTTGAGGTCAATGGCGAGTTGAACCCTTCCATCTGCGCACAACTCAAGAATTCCGAATCATTGAACTCAATCAACACTTAACCTCTCAACAACCTCGTGCAATCTTCAAATAGCTTGAGTCATAGCAGACGATTGCTCACCTTCTGATTAATTTTCAAAACCAGGTTCCAAAGGTACTGAGGATTAAACTGGCGAGGCTTGATCATGCACTGTGAAATGACCCCGATCCTCATCTCGAAATATCTCTTGAACGCCACTGTCGATCATAAAATTGAACCTTATTAGATGAATCCCATATAATTTTAAAAAATTATGTCTTGTAAGATAAGAAATTTATCAGGGTCTCAAGTCAGGAAGGCAACACGTGTGCTAACCATACAAGTTGCTGCTGGAACTATCCGTTGGTAATGCAACCAAGATGAACACAGGGTTGTACTTCTTCAGTGCCCCAATCATAAATTCTACTCGTCTCTCAATTGCCAGGTTTTGTGCATTATGTGGCTCTTTTTCCACTCCCGCTGGCTTCCCCATCATCTGAATCATGGGGAGGTATTAAATAATTAAGAAATGCATTCACGTGAACGAAACTGTCAAATATGAGAGCGATTGTGTATATGCTTAAGGTGATCTGAATTCGGGACATCACCAGTCCTTGTCTGCAGCTAACTTCCATCAACTGCATTCCAATGTGATTCCCGTCATGGCAGCGATCATCAAAGACAGCAACAGCCCAGGGATCTATTTATGACACCCTTGTGCATGGTCTGCAATCGAACCCAGATGACACGAAATTAAGGCCATGGTTCAGAAAGACTACCCCATCTCAAAAATAGACCGATGTGACCAAAGCAAAACCAAACCTCCGTGTTTTCTGAAGTTCCAGCGACCTTCTCGAGGTCCCTCTGCCCTCCCATTTCCAAATGAAAGCATTTAAATGAAAAGAAACAAATGAGTGGTGCACATATAAACATATAGCTTTAGGTGCGTCGCCCTCAATTCGACGTTACAAAACAACTGATCAAGCTGCCAGTCATATGAACTAAGGGCAGTGCAATTGGAATACCTGAGGGGGAGGTAGTATCCTGCCATTCACAGTAGCCAACTTATTGTCAAGAAGCAGTTCAAACTAAGCGACTGGTTTGGCAGAATGAACTTCCTCACATCCAAGGCGTGGACATAAAACAGCAGCACGTTCGTCAACAGATAACAATGATTAATTCTTACACAAACATCAATGAAACAACACCCGAAGTAAACTAATCTAATGCTAATATTCGACTAGCTTTTTCACAAATTTTCTCCCGATCTTTTGAGCCCTGCTTGCAAGCTGCGATCTGAGCCGTCCTCTGCTCACTGGAAAGAGACTTGGTGTACCGCTGTCCGGCAACAATCTTACACAACTGTCACATCTGTGACTAACTATCAGATGAAATAAAGTTAATAATTTTAAAGTTTCGAAGACAAATTTATAGAATTCCGGGACCAGGAGAAGGAATCATCTAGGTCACCTCTGATGGTATGAAAGGCGGCTTCTTCTTGTTACCGACGTCCAGCGCTGGAAGATTGGGTAACTGAGGATAAACGAGTAAATCTCAGAGTGGTATGCTTCCACTGAAATCTACTCCTCTTGGTAGCCGCCCTCGCAATCTTTTTTACGCGCCTAGTAAATCTGTGCTAACATTGAAAAGTTAGTCTCAAAGATCTTGGTCACCAAACCGATAAATTGCACATTTTGAACTGATTGTGAAACAAGGTGGTTCGGCAACCGTCACTTGTGTTCTCGGATGGCGCGGTCACTTAACCCTGAGATCTTGCGCGGTCTTGGCAGTGGTTGGTGAGCGGACTCGATCCGGACCCCTTCGAGATAACTCTTTGCTTTGTGCCAATCTCTGCCTCGCAAATGTTGGAGGTCTCTCACACCACACTTCAAGAGAAACATTTCCACCAGAACTGGCTTGAGCATGGTCGTCATGGTGATATCTACAGCACATGCACCCGTCACATAAACAAAAGAATGATTGAAGGTGTAGCACATACATTATACTAGACAAGGTAGTGATTTAACAGTAGGATTTTCAGAAAATAGTTGTGTGCACTCACCGAGATTGAGGGTCATTCCCAATCCAGTAGGTCTTACACTGGAATGATAGCCTCTCCAGTCCTCAATCCCTTCGCCTAGGTCACAAACTGGACCCAAGTCTGGATGGAAGAAGTTGTCTCTCACAAGAAGATGGCCCCTGCATTCCGTCAAAATCAATCAGCCACGCAGACGAAGTCATACTTCAAAGCTTTAAAATCTTACCCGAAGACAGGAAGTTCAATGGAATCAAAGCAGCACAAGATTTACATTTGCCTCTTCGAATCGCTCTCACGAAGGACAATATTCAGGACAGGAAGTGTATCCAAAGCTTGAACTTCTTGGTCATGGTTGCACTTGCCCATCGCTCCATTTATCATCTCCTCGATTGCCTTCATGCGACTCTTAGCAGCGAACTCAATTCTGACAATGAAGACTCTCTCCCTAGAGATGATCTTCCTTCTTTTGACCACTTCATTGCGTGGACTACCTGCAAGTCAAGATAACAAAAACGTTCAACCAATCGATTCAGAATGACATCGACAATTTCCGCACTTATTGGAGGTTAATTAGCACAGACTTTGAAGTTTCCTCTACATGCCTGGAGATGGAAAGTGCGATGATTGATAGTCATCAGGCCTGCCATCCCTATCGCCGGGTCTTAACAAGGGGTCTCTGCCATCGTCAAGAAATACCCGGAACTCCTTTGATTTGAAGTTTAAGCTTCCGCTCGTGAATAAAGACTTATCCCCGTCGTAAACTCCTTGATTACCGCCACATTCCGCTTCCTCGTACGTGTCGCAGAGCTTCTTTACAATGTCGCGACAGAGCTTCTTGTTCGTCACTGGTAGTTTGATAGAAACCTACAAAATAACACATCAGAAGTATAACACTACCCACCTTGGATATCCTGAGCGCAACCGTTACAGAGGAAAGTAAACAATTAATCGCAAACTCTTTCCTTAAACAGGAATCCGAAGAAGCCGGTGTAGCAATGCTCTCACATAGTAATCATAGACGTCATCCCACTTCATCAACTTGGCATTGAGGTGGATCCCGCTTAATTGTGTGGGTCGCCCATTCCGCTCAAATTCTGGTCTGCTCGCTTTCGGAAATATTGGCATATCCACAAGTGCAACCAGAGCCATACTGCAGCTTCCCTCAATTGGAACCCACCCACTTCCACTGGCGATTCACCCGATTGGTCCGAGATTAGACCCCTACACTCAATTTTCGACCGCCACCCACATCATGGGAGGCAATTCTGACTGGTGGCGGAGGAGGGGGTGTCATGGTTGGAGCCTGCTCGGCCTCTGTACTGCCTCCAGTCTCCTCCATTGCGGTATACACTCAACGATCTCTTCGCGCAGAACGAGGTTCGACACTAGGAATGACTGAAAGAGAAAAGCTATTTGAAAGTGTTCGTGCGCATTACACATACAGCCTGGTTCTATTCAGGATGAAACGTTTATCATCTCACATAGGTATACTATCTATGCAGCATCCGCCTGAAACTGGCTTCCAACACAATCCCATGAAACGACAGAACGTAGCACAAAACACCCCTTCTCTGGACACGGACTGCTGTCGCAAGAACATTACGAAAGTGGTACCCATGCCAAGAACCGTGGACAAACACAAATGATAACATAAATACTAATATAAATACAAAGTAACTCAAAACAATTATCACGAAACATCGCAACTCAACAATGACCCGCTAGAGCAAGTCCAATCTTTCCTTTCAGGCGCTCTGCTTCAGCACGAGCAGAGCACCTGCCTCAAAAATGGAACCAAGAGTTAAGAATCCACGCCAAGTTGCCGAAATGGGAAAGGAACCCAGCTGCACAAGCAAGAATAGCCTCCCCTCGGAACCATCAGTTCTTACAGTTCAGCTTCCAGAAACCGCTGTCGACGCAATAGAGACGTGACGAAAGCTTCGTACTCTCCTGTGCTTGCTCTTCCACTCCCGGACAACAGATTATCTTTGCATGAGAAGCCAAACGTACTTGTCCTTGCATTCCAGCCTAGCAACAAGATTGAAAAGACATGGGTGAGTATATAATGCCGCCGTCGCCGTCGCCGTCGCCTTCACAATCGCCTTCAGGGTGGATTCCTCGCGGCCTGCCCGCACCGACGCACCATGCTGACGCCGCAGTGAGAGGCTGCGCGATACCATGATCGTCCTCATCGTCCTTCTCATCATCAGCTTCAGCTGCTGCAGCATCAGGGCGTGCGGCAGCCTCGTCGCCGCATCAGTCGCGTCGATACTCCTGCGTCGGTGGTCTCAGCGCCGAGTCCACGGTATATATTCAAACGTATGTGTATTGTATATTAAATACTATACGGTTATGTGTCGTGCGAGAGGATGTATTGTATTGTGATGGATTGTGTAGAGTACATTGGTGTGAATTTCGATGCACCATGAGCATGGTTTTCTTATCAATGGCTGTTTGGAGTGTTTGATTCTCCCAAAAGAGGTGTGGCTACAAATTATAACTCCCTTGGATGAGAAATGAGAAAAGTATTGGAGCATGTCCACATTTTGCTTTTCAATGAATATTTTTTCAAATGTTATCAACTAAGTATAGATGTATTATGCTTGATTTATAATCTTGGTTGATAGAAATATTATAAATTATATAAAGATTTATAATTAATATGAAATTATGAAATTTTATAGTTTCTAAGTAATTTAAGTAATTTAGAAGCATGTAGATAATAAGGAGTATATAAAATATATATTATATCAATTAAAAAATTTTATATTTGTTTCTCTCTACCTCTTTTATGTCACAATTGCCAATACTTGTGGAAGTACTAAGATAAAAAAAAGTGTCCTTGCATGCATATATTTTTTATTTGCTGAACTAAGATTTAGTTCTAAGAAAATAAAATAAAAAAGTAAAATTGAGTATCTATGGTGGTATAAAAAGAAGATATAAAAAGCCATTGGTTTTATAATAACACACATATTAATCACACTTCAATCAATATGAACCACCACCACTTCATCATCATTTTCTATGCAATTATGTACTTCACTTTTTTGGTAGAAAATTCATTGGTAGAAATTTCATTGATAAAGAGAGTTTTAGTCAAAGAGTTTTTTGCTTTATGCAATAATACCAATTTTTCGCTTAGTTCAAATGAAAAGAGAAGACATATTCATCAAGTATGATTTGTATGCTAATTCATGTCTATAATATGCTCACCTACAATTTAAAAAAGACAAACAAAGCAACATATGCAAAAGTTGTGAATAAATTAACTTGCTTTTTAATAATATGGAATAAAATAGTCTTGCCACAATGTTGTCATGGTATTTATTTTTCTTGGCCAAAGTATAAGATTCAATTAAAAGGCTTTAGTGGCATAGAATTTAAAAGCTTCAAAATGTTTGAAGAAGTTGACTATTATTTAGGCATTAGGATTTTGAATCTGATGGTGTTGTGATGTAACACGGCTAATAAATGAAAGAGAGTAAAAAACATTATATTATAGAAGATATTATTTTAAAATATTATAGCAAATTATCTTAGAAAATAGGTAATAGTCAAAAAGATAGTAAAACTAAAAAGTACTATTGTTGCCTTTTTACAAAATAGGCTTCTACTTACTTTATAGGGCCATAAATAAGGAAAAAAAAAGTAGATTGAGAAATAATATAATATAGACATATGTACAAAGAAGTTAAGAGTAGATGTTAGCAAAATTTACCTCAAAAAGCCAAGAATTGATACCCGGAGAGGACTAGTTGTCAACTTGGATTAAAATCATACCCTAAGATACAAAATCATGCACTTATGGAGACTTTGCACATTCTTTGGTAAATCAAAGAATGAGATTTGAGAATAGACTTGTAAAGAGATTTTTAGACATTGATTTTATATCAATTGAGTTAATATTTAATTTTGGGAGAATTTTTAAAGTTAGTAATGTTCTTAGTTGGTTTAGATTTTGAGAAATAAAACTATGTTTAGATATTTGAGGGTTTCTTTAGTTTTGTGGTATATGTATAAATAAATTTTAGAAAAAATGTTGGTGTACTAGTTACAAATATGTGTGAAAATTTTGAGATCAATCAAAGAATTTGATCGAAGTGTGTGAAGGTTTTTGTGGATTGAGGTCTTAGAAATTGGAGTTTGAAGGTCAGTGAGTATTTTTAGGATCTTTAATAATTCGTCAATTGGATTGAAGTGAATTTTTTTTAATAGCAACTAGACTTGATTTTCAATAATTTAAGTGAATTTTGGGAGAAATTCAATAGTTCAAAAAAAAATATCGGTACTAGAAGTTCAACATTTAAATTGGAGTAGGAAGTTGGCCAATACCAGAGTAGATTTTAGAATTTTTCTTCCATTTGGTATGTGCAATTATCTTCAAATTTTTTATACTTATTTTTAACTAAGATTTTAAGAGATATGTAATTTTTTAAATAAAATCAATGGTT